AGCCAGGTCATGGAATGTGGCTAACTTAAAGAAATATTATGCTTAAAATTTTTTTTCTTTTTTTTACTCATTATCACCTATGTAATGAAATGCTTTGCTCGATGATGAATGGAATGGTGTATTGAAGTTTCTACAATTTACTGTTTATCGAATTAACTTTACATAGTCGGAATCCCTGGATTAACCTTGATGACAGGCTGTATGTGAAAAATTCATCATGATTAAGGCCATGAGGCTGGATGGTCGTATGTAACGACCACCTCTTTGAAGGTGGGCATGCGTTCAAGGACAAAATCCATCATGATTAAGGCCATGAGGCTGGATGGTCGTATGTAACGACCACCTCTTTGAAGGTGGACATGCATTCAAGGACAAAATCCATCATGATTAAGGCCATGAGGTTGGATGGTCGTATGTAACGACCACCTCTTTGAAGGTGTGCATGCGTTCAAGGACAAAATCTATCATGATTAAGGCCATGAGGCTGGATGGTCGTATGTAACGACCACCTCTTCGAAGGTGGGCATGCGTTCAAGGACAAAATCCATCATGATTAAGGCCATGAGGCTGGATGGTCGTATGTAACGACCACCTCTTTGAAAGTGGGCATGCGTTCAAGGACAAAATCCATCATGATTAAGGCCATGAGGCTGGATGGTCGTATGTAACGACCACCTCTTTGAAGGTGGGCATGCGTTCAAGGACAAAATCTATCATGATTAAGGCCATGAGGCTGGATGGTCGTATGTAACGACCACCTCTTTGAAGGTGGGCATGCGTTCAAGGACAAAATCCATCATGATTAAGGCCATGAGGCTGGATGGTCGTATGTGACGACCACCCCTTTGAGGGTGGGCATACGTTTTAAAGGGAAAAATCCGTCACGACTAAGGCCATGAGGCTGGATGGTCGTATGTGACGACCACCCCTTTGAGGGTGGGCATACGTTTTAAAAGGAAAAATCTGTCACGACTAAGGCAATGAGGCTTGATGGTCGTATGTGACGACCACCCCTTTGAGGGTGGGCATACGTTTTAAAGGGAAAAATCCGTCACGACTAAGGCCATGAGGCTGGATGGTCGTATGTGACGACCACCCCTTTGAGGGTGGGCATACGTTTTAAAGGGAAAAATCCATCATGACTAAGGTCATGAGGCTGGATGGTCGTATGTGACGATCACCCCTTTGAGGGTGGGCATGCGTTTCAAGGGGAAAACCCATCGTGATTAAAGCCATAAGGCTGGATGGTCGTATGTAACGACCATATACCAGGGGTGGGCATATGTGTATGTGTATGGTGCGACTAAACTACTCAAGTAATCGGGAGGCAAACACACAAGCATCATTTAAATAATGACGAATGGACTGGCTAATGAAGCGTATAAAAAACGTTATTGAAGATCAAGGCAAGTATAAGACAAAATACCACTATTCCACGAGTATTACATAGTTCATCAGAATACATAATTCAAATTCACAACGGACAATATGGAAAATATAAAACTACATCTAAGGAGGAGGAGCGGCGATCGAGTCGGCATTACTCTGATGGGCGTTGGGATCGAGCGGATGGCCAGTTCCGGAGGTCGAGTCACAAGCTTCGTTAAGTGGACGTTGACGTATAGACTCGGTCAACACGGCCAGCATCGAGGC